GCATATGAAAAGCTGAAGTATAAGTAAGAACAGAAAGGAGAAGCTGTGGATAAAGAAGAGCCTTAAGAAATAAGAATGATACAAGGACTATTAATATCAATAGGGAACTTTGTGTTGGAAAAAAAAAAGGCCAATATTTCACCCTATTTGTATTAATTGGTAGGTGATATACAAAAGAAAATGATGTGGCCAACAGACCTAACCGCAAGTTAGTGACAAAGATCTCTGCTAACAGAGCCCAGCCAGTGAATTTACTGAGGTCCTCCCAGCAAAAAGGATGGAAAACTCCCCTGGCATGTGGAGATTGCTAATGTGGGTCAACTGATACAGCAGCCCCAGAAAATGGCTTCACACACACACAAAAAACCCCCTGACCTCAAAAACCCAACCCAAAACCTCAAGTGTATAGCATGCAGTAAGGACATGACTCTGAGCTCTGACCCTGAGAATGTGACAGACAGGACAGAAAAGGTGGTAGGGTGTCACTAAGCATATGCATTATGCATTATCCCAGTCACCTAGGAGTGCCCCATGCCAAAGCAGCAATAAGGTTGCCAGTACCTGACTGATCCAGTGTAGGTGTTGCAACACAGCACTGCCTCACACCACACAGACCCAAGAGGAGCAGAGAAAAACACATTCAAAACGTTAAAACAACTTACCACTACTTTATGTGCAGGTATGGTATCACATGGATCTGTGCGAAGGCATTGGGCTGTGTCACTCGACTCCTGGTCTTCTTCCACCACCAATCCCACTCCATCCAATAACGCTGTCTGGGACAAGTGATCTTCAGTCTGGCCTGCAGGACATATTGTAAGCTGGGCACTCTTTACACAGACCCTTACCGTGACACTTCAACTGTCATGTTCCATGAAACAGCAACAAACACGCCATCCATTAGCTCCTAAGAAGTTCTCAAAGTCTTATTCACAGAAGGGGCACATAGTGCTTCTGGGGAACTTCTTGTTTCTGCAAGTAATAACAGTTCTTAAGAATGCTAAGTGGTATGGGAGGAATTTATCTCCTGTATAAAGGGAAACAGATGGTGAAGGGAGCAGGACATGAGATCATTAAGGGGCTGCTGAGAGGGGTCAAGGGTTCTTTGCTGAACAGCGCTTGTTTTATATTTTTTCTAAATCATAATGTTGAGTCTTTATTACAAAGTCTATATATATGCCTGATTTTTAACATTTCTGAGCACTCTCAGCTCCTATTAGCCATGGTAAGAGTCAGGATTTCTCAATGGCTTTGAAAACCAAGTCCATTATCTCTTTTTAAATATATTATTTCTTCTCCTCCCCTCTTCCACTTCTCTTTTCCTTTCTTATAATCATTCTCAGCATTTAAATTACTCATGGCAGAGACAGCTAGCATTTCAGTGCCTAGACTGAACTTACACCCAGCCTGTTTAGATGTAAGCCTAGGTATAGATTTTAGCCTAGCATGCTACTAATACAAATAGTGGCCTCTGTTTGAAGCGCTTTCTCCCTGTGGTCATGTCCCATGGCCACTGTGGAACAGACAAATTCATTTATGCAGGAACGTGTGTTTCCTAGGAGGTCCTGATCTTTCCAAGAAGGTCTTGGGGGTGGTAATCCAGGCTGCCTGCACTTGCAGGTATGCTACAATGCTCTGCAGACATGGAAAACCTTAACTGCCTCTTTCTTTCCAACCCACTGTAACCTGGACAGCTTAGGTCTAGCCAAGGTCTCTATTTATTTGTGCTGTTACAGGAATAGGTGTTAGGTTTCCACAGCTGAGTTCCAGATGCCCTGCCACAAATTTTCTTCTTAGTTCCTGACATGCCTCATCAGCAGTCACTTGTCTCAGCTGGTGATGGCTGAGATGTAACTGGCCATACAGTCCCTACACACTGCTGGTGAGCCTCAAAACACAACTTGGATTGCATTTTCCAGAATAAGCTTTGAGAGAATGTGGAGACAATTAGAGGGAACTGAATTAGCAGGAAGGCCACTTGTTAACTGAATAAACTTGACATGGGCTCAGCAGAGGTGATTCAACGTCAGGCACCTGGGGGCATTAATTGTTGCAGAGGCTCATCTCCAGCCCCATCTCCTGCTGTTCTTTGGCCATGCACAGGGTGGCCACGGCCCTGTGGACAGCCCCTGCTCTGCCCCCTGCTCAGACCCCTGGGCCAGGGGCTGGCCGGGGGGGGGGGCACTGTCTCCGGGGGCAGCCCCTCTCCAGGCTCCCAGACATTGAAGACATTATCATCACAGCTTGACCATACCTGCTGTAACAGCTCTTGCAGCCCTTTGCAAAGGAGACAGCAGGGCTGATGCTAAACCCATGCTAACCCACGGCGCTCTGTAACCCAGGGTAAAACTCGGTCAGTGATGGTCTAAAGCAACATACCAAGCTGTAGATTGCCTTTATGGAGGAGGTAACCACTTCCAGGAAAATGGTTGATAAGAAATCTGTTGTCAGCAATAGCTTCAGCTAAGCTCAGCAGGTCTAGAAAGTCAGTGCCCCCAGTATTATGACAGTTAAATACCGCAGATCAAGAACCACAGTGAAACAAAGTCCATCCTTCCAGCATTGCAAAATATTGTTAACATCCTATCAGTACGAACTCAGGGGAAAACTTTAGCTTCTTGCTCTGTGCTTCTCTGATGTCCCAAAAGAGGTCCATGTTTAGTAAGACATCCCAAGAGGAGCCCAACCATTGAAGAATTCATTTTTTTCTGTGTTTTTCACTTGCCTCAGGCCATCAGGACTCCTAACCTAAACAGATGCATCCTTCCCTGATGCAAAGCAGCTATGCTTCAATGAATGAAGCCTGTCACAGCACATGATGGCAGATGGCAGCCAGGGAACTAGCTCTGTGTTTTGCTTCAGTGGAAGGAAACTTTCTTGAACAGTGCTTCAAATGCACTGAATCACGGGGGGGAATTCTGTTGTCTCTGAAATTAGAACTGCCCCATTTACTCTAAAGACTTTTTACCACTAGTATCAGGGTCTTGGCAGACACTTTGTTAGCATTTTTGGAAAGCTTTCAATCTGAAATCCAGAGTTTCCAGTTTGCTGCTTTGGTTCAGTTCTTGACCAGATCTCAGATGGAAAGAACTTCTTTTCCACTGGCTAAAATTCTTGCAAAAATTATAAGCAAACTCCATCTCCTGCTGCTTCAAAATGGTACTTCATTACCCTGCTGTTCTGAATACTGGAGTTATTCAAAAAGTTTAAATGTGTTAATTCGGTATGCTGTGGATGTGCCATTTTCATTTGCAAATATGACTGCTACTTGAGCTAAGACCCTTGCCTGGCAAAGAAACTATCCATGTATGCATCCACAGGTACTGGGGAAGGGTGGGAGCAACATGCAGAAAAGAAAGGAGGGACAAGCCTTCAGACAAAGCCTTCAGACAGCGATGTAGGCATACGGTCCTTCATGTCTGGAGTGTTGAGCGGCAGGATGCAGATGGGGAAACCCAAGGAACTGTTTCACTGAACTCATTTCCCCTTCTCCTTTCTCTGCATTTCACTTTTTACATCATGTCTGGCTGGAAGTGCTGTGATAACAACTATCTGTCTTTTAATGTGTGCAATCTGCACAGCGCTGTACGTTGAGCTGAGTCTATCTTAACAGAACACTAACAATAAATATCTGGCCATGCCCTCAGCATCTGCCCCGTTATCCCTAGAGGAAGGTGCCACTTGCAGAAGCAGGCAGAGTTCAGCTTAGCTAAGCACACGATCCCGGTAGTTAGTATACAACACACAGGTGAAATACATCCTATGGGCACCTAGTGTGTGAATCCATAATAAATACAAGACTGTCACTCTCAAAAATGCTATTACAGTTATAGAAAAGAAGATGAAGGAAGGACGTCCAAAGCTACAGCCTTCACACGAGCCTGTATTCAGCTTATGAAAAGTCAAATTATTCCCATTTTCATCATCCCAAATAATGATCTGAAGGAGCAGAAAGTAGATGTGAATGTAAGAGGTGTATGTGTTTGTTTACTGTGGTTATTGATGATTTCTAAGACAAACTCCAAAATGGTGTATTAAAGCAATGTCAATATTTTAAGGTGCTATGAATCAAAATATTATTTTCCAAATATACCAAATTTAAGTATATTAATTCAAACACATGATGAGATGCTGTGATTCAAACAACATTGAAAAAATATTAGAAATGTTGAGGTAACAGGATTTGTGAGATCTTGGCCTTGATCATTCCTGGGGTGGGTTTATAGAGTTAGTGTGTCCACTTTATTGCTGCTAAAAAAAAGGAGAACACATATCTTTAAAATAAGCAGAGAAAGCCAAAAGAATCTAGCAAATACATAGCCATGACATACAAGTGCCTGAAGGTGTGAAAAGTCATAAATTTTTAAGTTTCCAAAATCTTCTCTTACGCTTAACAGTGATTGACAGATGGCTTCTTTGATGTAGTACTAAATATATTTTGATCACTGCAGATTATGGTTCAACAGCATTCCAAGGACACATTGTCTTTTTTTGTTGTTTTTATTTTATTTTATATTAAATCAAAATTTCAATTAAATTGTTTTTTTGCTTTTAGTAATTTCTAAATGAAACAATATTGCATTCAATATTGGCTTAAAACTGAGTTGGAGGCACAGAAGTCAGCACAGAAATGGTATTACAAACAAAAATATGGTCACCACCTAGACATAACAATGCTTAATACCTCCTGTTAATATGAAAAAGATAGCTCAGCAGCAGTAGAGAAATAGAGTGCTAAAATATGTTATAATACAATCAGATAAACATCATACTGTTTTGAATTGTAATTTTAAAATTGCCCTGCTGCTGTTTTGTTTACATACCAAGACAGTCAAAAATCAGTGACCAATTTTCCAAATGATGGAGCATTCCTTCAAGAACTTCAGGGAAGTAAATCAATGACAGACCTGTAAAGCATTGGATGAATGTCACTATGAGGAAATTATAACTAAGGCACTAATAAAACATTGCATGAATTATTTTTTAATCTTGATAGACAGAAACTACCAAAGTTTTATCATGCCCTAAACAGTTAACAGAAAAAGGAGATTCTTCAAGGACTTATTAGTAACTACTACATGAGAAGGATAATACTAATCTTGAAACACGTTCTGTTTTGTCTGTACAGAAACCACAATAGCTTTCATCTGAGGGTAACTTCAGCTTTTATCACATATTTATATATTTTATCTACCTGTAAACGGAAACGACTTTAATTACTTCTTTAACTCTTAAGCATGTGCTGAAAACATATCAATGGCATCCATCTTTTCACTGCATTCATTGGCTGGAATGCCACATATAGAAGTAAAAAAACCTTTTTTTAATCAGTTATTTTCCATGTAGTACACACAACAGAAAACCAAAGTCATGGGCTGTTGCAGTGTGCTGGGAGGCCCAGGACCACTGAGACAATTTCACTAGGTCATTTGCTGACTCCATCGCTTTAGCCAAGCCGTCTCTGAGTCACTCTGTTGACTCTTCCTCTGCCATATCCAGCGTAAATCCCCTACAGAAACCTCTCCTTTTTTTCACTACTTGCAGAAGTGGGTGATAGTCGTGCTGTTACGCATGCCACAGCTTGTCCTCTTAGGCCAAGACCATGCCTTCTTGCAACACAGAAGAGACCCTGGGCAAGATTGGGCCCATGCTAACTTTGGAGCTGGAGGTGTGCAGGGCACCTACTGCCCCTGCTGGGGTCCCCCAGCCAATTCTTGCTGTGCCCTGCCTTTTCACTGTATTCAGGGGGCATTGATGGGCCTTTACTCCATGTGGCTTGTTTAACCACTTTTCCCCTTTCTATCCTGCAGCATGTTCCACAACTCAATGCTACGCTGATGGAAATTGGCTTCCTTTTGTTTTAAACTATTGTGTTTTGGTTCATTGTGGGTTTTGCCTTTCCTCAGACCATTGACCAGACCTAGCCAACTTGCCTTTTCCCTGCAGGGACAACTTCTATAACC